GCGTCGAGGGAACGCGTTTCTCAGCAATTCACCGCCATGCCGCTAGGGGGTGTGGCTGTGTGTTTGTGTGGTTATAGCCGAATCCTCACTTTTTCTTCCATAAAGTAAACAACAGTAAACAATGGCGACCAAGGTGGAGCAGCTGTATTTGGAGTTGGAGCTCATCAATATTGAAGAACAAATGCTTATATTGCAAATGTTGAAGCGCAGGCGACAGAGAAGACGTTTGCAGAGGTGGTTTGTACGACGAGGAAGAAAGACCTGAAAAAGCAACTGCTGGAACTTACGTTCTGAGCGGACCAATCACAGCGCTTATGGTCCCCGTCAACGCGACGCGTAGTTAAGATTTTTTGGAGGTGCGCGTCAGGCTACGGCGCAGAAGCATAAACTAGGCTTTACAGGCAGCATAATGTTCACCTCAGCTTCTCCAGACTCTTTCACACCTGTCACATGTGCTCAGTGTGAACCTGCTCTCGTCTGTGAAGAGAATGGGGCACCAGTGGTGGACCTGCCAACTCTGGTGTTCTCTGGCAAATAACAATCCAGTTGAACAGTGCTGGGCTGTGAGCACAGGTCCCACTAGAGGACGTTGGGCCCACATGCCGCCCTCATGGAGTCTGTTTCTGACAGTTTGGTCAGAAACATGCACACCAGTAGCCTGCTGGAGGTCATTTTGTAGAGCTCTGGCAGTGCTCATTTGAACCAAAGCAGGTGAAACTGATCATTATCACTTGTGCTTCCTAAATGGACAGATTGATATCCCTGAAATTGAACTGACTTCCTGTTATACTGTGACGATTAAATGTTCCCTTAACTTTTTGGAGCAGTGTAGTTTTGTGTGTATCCAATGTGGACAACAGGATGTTGTGTGACATATTCTAGTGTGTGCCCAACCTATCAAAATAATATTCAAATAAATAGACGTGTGCAATCAGTTAGGTCATCACCTGTGCATACAAAAAAAATGACTACAATGATACATTTATGTTTCTTTTGCTTTTTGTTCACAAATACAACAAACACAAATCAGCAGAAGCAACTGCTTCTAGGACATCAAGGGACTTGTTTTTCTTCCTGTGAGCACCACAGTTTGAGTAAAGTTTCTTCTTTCAGACATAAACGAAAAGCACATCAGCTCTGAGATGGAGGTAGTTTGATGTCATGGCTTTATAATCACTCTGCAAATATCCATATGGATGGCATCCCCAAAACATTCCATAAGAAATTCCGCTGAGTTGCCATTATATTGATTTTGTATTAAACAGGGTCTAAGGGCATTTTCTCAGATCTTCTAATTTCTCCTCAGATTGGCCTCATTTGTCTGCTGGTCTGTTTTGTTCTTGTTTATATATGATGAATATTTAATAAATTCAAAAAAATACAAATTGCAGCAAGAGTGTCCTTGGGCAACACACTGAACCCCAAATTGCCCCTGACTGCTGTGCCAGCAGTGTGAGTGATGTGTGGTAGAGAAAGTGCAGCACAGATGCAATGTTTGTGTGAATGGGTGAATGAAAAAACTGTAAAGTGCTTTGAGTGATCATCAAGACTAAAAGCACATATCAATACAGACATGTGATATGTAGTTGTCTTTCTTTTTACTTCTCCGTCTTCTCATGCTCCTTTGTTCCTGATGTTACTGTCAGCTGGGATTACCACATCTATCACTATTGCCCTCTTCTGCTCTTTGTCCACCTTCACTATGTCCAGTTGGTTAGCCAGCAACTGTTTGTCAGTCTGGAATCTGAAGTCCCACAGGATCTTAGCTATGTTTTTCTTGGTAATATGTGCCATTGGATCTTGGGTACCTCTAGTCCAGTGGTTTTCAAATTTTTTCTGACCAAGGCAGCCAAAATAGCAAGGCACACCTGTATTCTTCTTCATGCCCTTGTTATCATCCATTGTAACCCATGTTTCACTCTTTATTTGAGTTGCTCTCCTTCACACTGGCTGTCAGTCAAGGTCTTTGATGTCACACACTAATATTTTCCACCATCTGACAATTTTACCAATGGCAGATATTAGGGTTCCAAAGGTTTTTAATGATAATTCCATTTGATTTGTTCAAATATCTATATATGAAAGACATTTTTAGAGAATGAAAGCTGTAAACTGTTCAAGGAAACCTCTTACTTAGGCCCTTCACAATAATCAATGTTTGTTGTGTGTGTGTGTGTGTGTTGTGTGTGACCACCATTATAATACATCATCATGATCCACTGCCGCCATCAGGATGCACCGTCAGCTGCCACTTCAATCAATGTCCACCACTATGATCAGAGGCCAGCACGATACAGGATCCACCATTACTATCATGGAGTAACACACTGAAATGATATTCATTAACAATTAAATAATTGTAATGTGAAAAAAAGATTGTATATTTTCAAAGGTGTGACAAACATTTTTAGTCACACTTCACATATTTAAATGGTCGTACTCTGGTGCCCTTTAGTAGTATAGTAGTATTACAATAATAATATTATAAATTTCTCTCAAAATCCCACTGAACACCTGGATTTGCCTCACAGCACCACACCATTTTCTCAGGGGCATCTTTGCACAGCCTGCACCTTGGGTCTTGTCTGCTGTGGTAGACCCTGGCCTCTCTGGATCTTGTGCTCAGGGACTGTTCTTGTGCTGCTATGATTAGAGCCTCTGTGCTATCTGTAAGACCAGCCTCTTCCAGCCACTGGTAGGATCTCATGATATCAGCCACTCCCTCCATCTGTCAGTGGTGCATGCTGTACATGCAGGGGCTTGATCCTGGATAGAGCCTCTGAAGCTCACTAGTCCTCAGCCTAACATATGCAGCAGTAGCTCAGTCCATAGAGATTTGGCTTGGGAACCGGAGGGTAGCCGGTTCAAGACAAGCATGTACTAAAAAGTATGGAAGGTGGACTGGTAGCTGGAGAGGTGCCAGTTTAACTCCTGGGCACTGCTGACGTGCCCTTGAGCAAGTACCCCCAATTGCTTGCAGGGCACTTCTCCAGGGCTGCCCCTCACTCTACCATCTCTCTCCGTATTTGCATGTCTATGAGCCCTTTGTGTGTGATTGTGGGTTAAAAACTGCATGTATAAAAAAAAAATTGTGTAATAAGTATTTCCCATAGACTGTATATAAATAAACCTATATATATATACCAACAAGACCACTTCACTGGACTTAAAACACCCAAAAAGGACCTTTCCCTCTTTTTCATGGACGGGTAACACAACTGAGCACACTCGCATACACATCTGTATATAGTAAGTACGCCTTTTGTTAGTTTGTGTGTTTATACTTTTATTATTCTCATAATAAATGTTTTTCTTCAAAACACGTCTTAGGTAATGTTGCATAAGTGTAAATTTTGCCAACCTCTACACCATCAAGAACTCAATATCCTTCAACTTTGCTAGCTATTGATGTGGTAATKTTGGTTATAGTTATTTATTTAATTATTAATCAGAGTTCCAAATTTGTAGTCAGTAATTTCACGAGACTTATTCAATAAATTGGCTATCTTTTCCCTTCCTTTGAAGGGTGGTGCCCCGATTTATCTTTTATCAGTTTCATTATTATTTAATATTAATATTTTTAATATTAATAATTCTCTGATAGCCACATTTATTGACTGCCCAAAAGCACACCATTTATTGGTGCCCCATGTGAAGGAAAGTACATAATCGTAGCCCACGCAAGGGAAAGTACATAATCGTACCCCACGCGAGGGAAAGTACATAATCACAAGATTTTTGGTGCTCCGTGTGAGGCAAAGTCATTAATAATAACATTATTTTGATACCACATGGAGCACAGCAGAACATCAAGTATCAAAAATAAAAGTACTGATGGTGCAGAAGCATTTCAGTTACCAATCATTTTGTTTTAATATACTGTAGTACACAACAGAGGTGGAAAACTAAAAAAGTAAAAATGTGCCATGTAGTTCTGCCACATTTTGATTCCACTTGTGCACTTAAACAGGTGATATCATTAGCTAGTCGACCTCTGGAAAAACATCATGGTGTGTTGCATCGTGTTGGTAGATTGGCTGTCATATCACGTTCGTGAGTTCAGAAAGACACGTTTTCAACTTTGTGACTATGCGCACCTAATGCAAGGAGAGTTTGGAAAATATTTTATAACGTTACATACAAACAAACAAATGCGAACAGTCACTTTACGTCATGCACTAAAAAGTTAAGAATCCGTAGGTGTTGATGCTAACCGTTAAAGTTAACTTTGAAGTCATCTAGCTTCAAAACGACAACACAAACCGACATGTAACATTCGGTAATTTGCATCATGAATGACTTCTATAACGCTACTATTTTATGGCACCTATATTAATGAAGAACACAAAAAAACATCCATTTACTTTCTGTGGATAATAAAATCTACAACTCAGCGCTACTACACACGCTCACTCACTGGTCTCTCTCGAATTAAAAGGCTGGTGAAAATGTCCCTCTCAAAATGTCCTCCTCACCTTCCCGTCCTGACAATGGAGGTGCTCTGACAGTGGAACCTGCACCGGAAGCGACCTCACAGTAGAGGTCTGCAGCTAGCCCCTTCTCAACACGGCGAGGATCTCCTACGCGGCCGCCGTTACCTGCTCGGTGAGCAGCGCTCTCAGCGCCGCGACTTCAGCCGTTTCTTCTCCTTCCTGTACCTGCAGGAGAAAGTCTTCAGCGTTGATCCGTTCATGTACCGACACCCGCAGCAGCTGCACGGCGGACATTGTCCTCCTTTCTGCACACTTCAAGTCTCTGAGCGAACAAACACAGTCAGCGGCAGGTAAACAGAGACACAGAGTTCAAAGCCAACAGTGACCCCTGCTGGAGTGGAGGGCGACGAGCAAACTAAAGTACTAATACTGCACAAGTGAAATTCAATTCAATTTTATTTGTATAGTGCCAAATATATATATAGAGAGATATACATTATCTGAAGGCACTTTACATAGAAGGTCAAGACCTTAAAATCGGATGAATATAGATAAACCCAACAGTTCCCACAAAGAGCATGGGGATACTAGGGGAAAATGGAGTCCAGTAAAGTTAACCCCAATATTAAAATATCAAGTAGGTGAGCTTAAAAAGTGTTAAAAAAAGAGTTAAAAAGTCTTGCGAGATGGAAACATGATGATCATTTGCAAGAATGAAGAACAGAAAGAACAAGGATGAAGGAGGTGGGGTAAAGTGATGATGCAGGAGGAAAAGGAAGCCATCCATATCAATTTAGGCAAAGAGTGGAAGATATTTTCCAAGGGCTCTGCCTGGGCTGCAGTGGATGCGCCACAAAATCAGATTTGTAAGTGGTCCTGAATCGAGGTGAGGCTGGGGAATTTGGCCACCAAGGTGGCAATTGGTACTTTGCCGGCAAAGATGGCTTTGGGGCCTCTTGCAACCAAGATGGCTCTTGGTCCTCTGGTGGCAAAGATGGCATTGGGGCCTCTAGTGGCCAAAATGGCCCTGGGGTCTCTGGGGACTCTGGTGGGACTTTCATCTGTTTTAAGCAGACAGATTTTTTCCTGAAACATATTTTCATGAATTAAATTAAAAGTTGGGGCTGAGGCCACCCTTCTGAAAGAGGAGTCAAAACAGTTTCAAGAAAAGGTACTGCAGGTAGCGGACCTGGGGTGCAGGGTGGAGGGGCTGAAGTCTGAACTTTTATATGCATTTTTTTATCTGGTCTATTTTCCATTAGTTACACAGGGATTCAAAACATGCCATACCCCACTATCTCTCTATACACAATACCCTCATGTATACATATATAGACAGACAAAGAACATACCTAAAATTGGTCGTTGGTGTGTATTTTGTGCCTGCCAGTGGATTGAAGGGGTCTGTCTTTGTTGCGGGTAAGACCAAAGTCTTATAACTTCTTGGATCAATGAAGTTCTCTCTGTACTCTGTGGTCTGTAGGGACCCAGTCTGGGCTCTCTGAGAACTGGGCTGCTCACTAGATATCAGTGCACATAGTGAATACTATATAAGTTATTAAGTTTGTACAGCATTTTAGCAATAAGGCCATTCAGAATGTGCATAAGACATGCAAAACTCCACTGAATGCCACAGGGGATCCTTTCTTCCTGTAGACATCCAATTTATATATTATTTTGTATTTTTCTGCACATATCCATTAGTAGAAATACATGTAGAAAATGTAGAAATGCAACATGTGCTGTATTTAAGTCTGTATAATTGTTTTGTCAACATTCATATAATTTGATAACCTCATGTTTAAGCATCATGCAGGAGTAAGTCTGATCACACCTTTTTGCAGACGGATCACAACAAACACTTCCTGTAACTGCAGCTCACAGAACTCCATTGAAAATAATTTGGCAAAACATAAGTAGGTTTGAAATTATTGTTTTGTCCATACACAATCCCATGAAGAAAATATGGAGATAAGGATCATCTCACCTCATTGATGGGCTTCGCTGACTGTTGTTACGGTGTGTGTTGTTACGCTCCATTCTTTCACAAGTAAGTGGTGAACCGGTGTTGTTCCAAAAAGTCTGCCAGAAAGTGATTGCAATCTGCAGGAGTGTGTGCACAGTCTGTTAAAGTTGTATCGCCTGTTTATCTGCTTCTACAGTTGCTTTTGAATCAAACTTTCTTATCAATAAAGTATACAGATTTGTTTATCTATACTGTGAAAACAATGGTATATAGTTAAGAAACATTTAAAGGTTCGGTGTATAGAAATTAGTGACATCTAGTGGTTGAGTTGCATGTTTCACTGAATACCTCTCATGTCACCCTCCCTTCCAAACATGAAGGAGAACCTGTGGTAGCTTTCAGTTTTCATAAAAACTCAAGGGTGATTAATTTGTCCAGTTTGGACTACTGTAGAAAACATCTATCTCCATAGGGAGGACCCACTCTTGATGTAAATATAATGTATTGAAATGGCCCATTCTTGGGTAATTATAATAACAATTCAATTCAGGAAATTACACAATAGTGAAAACATAAAGGATTATTTCATATTCAATTTCTGTCGACAGATCCCTGTAAAATAAATCTTATACACTGAACTAATAAGATTTATGGATGGGTTACACATAACATAAAGACATTTAAATATTATTTTGTACCTGCTCTGGGTTTGTAGGAGCAAATTGATGGTTCTGGATGTTTGACATACCTTTTCTTTTTGCAAGAAACTGAATGCAGCTCCTGTTTTGTCAAGTGTTGTTCTGCTTTAAAATTCCTTTAGCACAAAGGCAAGATGTAAATCAAAGGGTCATATTTCCATGTCCTTAACATGAAAAACACTTTGATGCCTTTGATTTCTAAAGGTCATATTGATGCAGTATAACTGATAATTGATTCATTAAATGATTTATTCAATTGATCAAAGAAGAAACATCACTTTGATGTTGGTTTCCACCTGCCAATTAACCGAACCGAATGTTTTGTGTGCTCAACCAATTGTGTCTCAATTCTGAAATTGTGTCAATTGTGTTACAAACGTATTTGTATTTGCAGCATATGTTGTAATTATATATTTTCTACAAATATTTGATCGTGTTTGTGGAAAGGTAGAGCTAACTCAGTTAAACTTGACAGCAGCAGCACTTTGGTCAACTCTGGTCACTTTCAATTATGCTTTATAAATGCACTTAATTTGATTTTAGAACTCTTAGGATGTCTGATCTACTGACAACAAGGCAAGAGGGTCATCAGCCCCAGGTCCGAACGGTGTCTTGTATACAAGAACACTCCTGATATACTATGCCTCTTGTGTTTTTGTTTTTTTTTGCTTTTTCTAATTAAGTTTGAGGATGGATTGCCATTATAGTAACATTGTAACACTTTGTGACAGAGTGTTCAAAGTTAGAGGAAATGTTTTAAAAATAAATACATTTTAGACACACACACGTACTGTATTTGTCCTTTTTGTAGTAAATATCCTGTTCAGTTATAATTATCATTGATTACAAAATTCACTTATCCTTTACATTCATCTCAAGATCCAAGAAAGTTGTGGTCTGCCATAGAGGGCAGTAATAAACAGACTACCAGAGCCAAGGTAACGTTATGCAACATGAAATGCATGATAATGCAAGAACGATATTGAACTTTAGCATACTAGTGATTTTTAAATCCTTATCCAACAATGACCCACTAGCTGGAAGGAAGCAATCATCATACCTATGATAAAAACAGGAAAAGACAAGAAGAGCTATGAAAATACATATATATATCTCTAATTAGATCAATTATAGACTGTGGAGGTATGGTTTACAAGGCAGCAGCAAAAACGTTGACAAATAAAATACAAAATCAGGCATTGCGACTATGTTGTGGAGCTATTAAGACGTCCCCAAATATAGCTGTCCAAAAGGAGATGGGAGAAATGCCGCTGAACCTTACATACAAACAGCTTCTGCTAAACTACTGGACAAACAAACAAGGTCACAGAGAAGACCAACATCCAGTGCTCTGTGAGCACCCTGAGACCATGCTGGAAAAATAAAAAAGATAACACAGAATGTTTGGACAGTAAATAAAATGCAAAAAAATATGATGTTACATGATAAAATATTCAGTGCAACAGCACCTTATCCTATGACACCGACATGGATATTTACTCCTGCATCATTAGATTTTTATATTCAAGAAAAGATGAAGAGAGACAAAGGAAACTGGGCAGAAATAGTAGAGGGAAGACTGAAGACCACACACAATACTCTTGTCCCAATATACTCAGATGGGTAAAATTAATTGGATTTGGTTTTGTTATCCCAGACCTAAACTTAAATATAAAGTAAAGAACATTGGATCACCTGGGGTCATCTCTCACCTCACATTATACCTTTCTGTCATATTGTCTATCTGGATACCCTAGGTCCATGGGGGTGCTGGGGGGGTTGGATGGGGGGAGATGGGATGGGACTTTGATGGAAGGGACTTGTTCGGGAACTCTGTTCACTACGAAAAAGGAAAATGGAAGGTGGAGACATTTATTGTGTTGTATTCTGTTAATATGCGGACCATTCTCTTCAATAAAATATATTTAAAAAAAAAATAATAAT